ACATTTAACATATCCCCAGATAGCTCAGGTCTGAGTGCACATTATTAAGTGAATGGCGCTCAGACCACACGAATACAGTTTAATAGCCATGGAGCCAAAGTCTTTACAGTCAGTTTCATACGAATGGGCTCCATGGGATTCCTATCTGGGGTATAACACATTCAAACAAATCTACCGAACCCCAGGCAGAAAAACACGAATACAGCTTTTCTGCAGGCAAAAATAAAGTCTTTTAAAAGGGGGCCATAGTCCAAAGGCAGCAGGCGAGCAACCAGGCTTCTCCAATGCAATGTGGCGAGATTGGTCTCGTCACAATGGTGGACAGAAAAATTCAGCCACAGGCTGATTTATCTGTCTACCATTAACCCTCTAGTTGCCAAGACAGACCATCTGCGTTCCCATGCAAGCTGCCCTTTTTGTGTTGGACAGTGAAATTATACTGTTGGAGGATAAGGCTCCAACGGAGCAGCTTACCATGGTTACCTGATTGTGGCGGAACCAGTCTCGCCACTGGGCATTGGAGAAGACTGATTGCCGGCCTCCTGCCCTGTGACTATGGCCCCATGTTGAAAGGATGGATTTTCCCCTGCAAAGACCCAAAAGCTGGGTCTTTCGGTACTTTCCCTATGTGAGCAATGTTACCCAGATAGCTATGCCATGGAGCCCATTTGTATAATGAAAGACTATGTGAAAGACTTTGGCTCCATGGCAATTGAACTGTATGTGTGTGCTCTGAGCGCCATTCAGTAATAATGTGCGCTCAGATCTGAGCTATCTGGGGATATGTTGAATGTACCTGTTTTGTGCAATGGCTGCACAGTTATATGTTTTTATGTGTTTTATTCTCTTTTGCTGCCATGTGGCTAATGGAGTTTTGCCTCTGTCCTGGAGATAATTGGATTACTTCCCCAATTATCTCCAGGATAGAAGACTCTGTGGAACTGGTTTTGGACAGAAAAGCCATGTTGCATTTGGTCAAATAGGACTTTTCCTTAACTTTTGAACCACTGGACCAATATGTATGATTTTGA